AGTTACTCAAGCTAGGCTTGGACTTGTGATCCTTCTGCCTCAGCCTCCCAGAGTGCTGGTATTACAAGCATTCAATACTGCCACTTTCTGGAGAAAGTAAGTTAGCCTCTGGAGGCTTGGGCAATTGATTAATGTGATGGGTTGCGTTGGTCCCCAGAAACAGTATTTTAAGAGCCTAACCTTCAGTACCTCAGAATGTGACTTTGTTTGAAAATAGAGTCATGGAAGATGGGATTAGTTTGGAAGAGGCCATACTGGGCCAGGGAGGAGCCTAATCCAGCACAGCTGGAGTTCCTAGGCTGGTGGAGGGACACAGAGATTCAGGAGGCCATGGTGTAGTAACAGAAGCAGAGACGGGGAGCTGGGCGGGGGACTTGGATCTGTGGGCCAAGGAATACTCACTGGGCTCCTCTGAAAAGGAACTGTCTCGGTTGCCCACACAGTTTGGGCTTCTGGACACGTGAGAGTACAGGTTTCTGTTGATTTAAAGTTCCCAGTCTGTGGCAATCTGTTCTAGCAACCCAAGGAAATAACCCAACGCTATAAGATCTGAAACTTCAAACACCAACACGATGCTACGTGGAAAAGTCCACCCCTGACCATAGTGTCAGGTCATAGTCTACTGCATGGGCACTAAATCCACTGTGTGAAGGCCAGATGCAATGGCACACGCCGGTAGTCCCAGCACTCAGGAGGCTGAGTCAGAAGGATCCCTACAAATTTGAGGCCAGCCTGGGCTACAAAGTGAGTTCAAGTCCCACCTGAACTGCATAGTGAAACCCTGTCTCAAAAAAAAAAAAAAAAAAAAAAAAAAATCTATTGTGTGTGGTGTACATAAAACACTTAGGAGATTTGTGTTTACATTTGGCTCCTATCCCAAGATCTGTTATTTGGAATAATTCCAAATTTAACAAACATATCTAAAGACTTCTGGTCTGCAGCACAGAGGATGAGAAATTTCATGCTGTATTTTTCAAAACTGAATGTGTTAAATGCAAGGCCCCCATGCCTTAAAGGACATGAGTCAGACACAGAATCTGCCCTCAGTGAGTTACCAGTTGAATGGAATCCCCAAAAGACAACTTGTGCCTTCTGGGAAGGCGACAGACACTTCTCCCAACCTGTCACTCCTTCCTTCTGGGATATGTATCAAGCACCAGATGTAAGTAACAAATGGGCAGAGGCACAGTCTACCCATTTGTTACTCTGGGCCAAGCAGAAACCACTAAGTCTGCTTCACTTAAAACCAGCCTTAAAAAAAAACAAAACAGCGTTAAGGGTCTGTGGCTCAGTGGCAGGGTTCTTGCCTTGTGTGTATGAAGCCCTGGGTTTGCAATCCCCACCAATGCAAAACAAATAACCTTACATTTAGGGCCAATTTTTGCATGCAGATGTTTTATCTCCCCTGCTGAGCCATACAGGGCTTCTGTGCACGTCCTAAGGGCTCAGCAAATGCTGCTGACTGCTGACTGGTGGCCCCAGCCTGGGTTTCCCACATTCATGCTTTCCCACACCCAGCCCCCTATCCCAGGAAGTTCATCCTGGCCCTGCCGACTCCATGCGGACAAAACTCCTCGCCAGCTAAAGGGTCACCACTTCTATGCCTCCGGTGCCTGCCTCTCAGAGCACTTACTGCTCTGTACTCAGGACTGTACCATCTCTGCCCAAGCATTTGCCATCATTCCGAAGAACACCAGAGCTTGATGCACCATAAATGCTGATGTCAGTCAGATGTGTGCATAATAAAACACCCCAAGACGTACAAGCAGCTTAAAACAACAACTACTTATTTAGTTCATGGTTTCTGGATCTTCTGGGAAGCTTTTCTGGACTCAGATGAACTTCCCAATGCATCTGGGGTCTGTTGCCAGGCAGCTAACAACCTCTACTTCTAGTTGTCAACCGAAGCAGGTTGGCCACAGCACTCTGGCCTCCCAGTGGGAAAACTCAGCTCATTCACATGGAGCTGAGAGCTCCAAGAGCAAGAGTGGCCCATGCACCTCCTTGCAAGGTCTAGGCTCCAAACAGGCATTTCTTCATTTTTACAGTTGTGTGATGAAACCAAATCGCAAGCTCAATTCAGGATCAAAGGTGGGATGACAGCAGAGTTACATGGCAGAGAGCCCCGAGGACAGGTATGGGGAGAGAACTGAGCTCAGTTTCCTATCTCCACCAGTGCTCAGTGAATAATCCCACAATATCATGCACACAGTGACTGCTCAGTAAATAGTGACAATGCTGAATCTTTCAGTCACAGTGTGAATTGCTCCCTTCAAAGCAGATGTGACCCTTAGTCCTGATATATGAACTTTACTGGATTGAGATGTGCCTAGCAGATTAGTAAAGAATGCTCTTGGGTGGTCTGGGTAGGTCCCAGAAGTGTGGCCTTGAATACTTTGGTCCCTTGCACCTATTCTCTCTGGCCCTGGTCCGCTCTTCTGCCTCCTGGTCACTATGAAGGAAACAGCCTTGCTCCGCTGCACCCTCCCACTAAGACGGTCCTGTCTTGGAGCCCACTGACATGGACACCTGTGCATCCCCGCGCCTCTGCCTGGGGCCGCATGTCTGCCCAGAGCTGGG